GACTCGTGCTTCTGGGAATAGTGGATGACCTGTGACGTCCGATGGGGCCATATGACGTCGTGACTCTGTTCTCGCCTCGACTCTGGATTCTGATCGTATAATAGTTACACTGTCAATAACGATTAAAATTGATTAAAGTGCAACAATTGGAACGACAGTTCCGCTGAATAAATAATAGTATCTATTTAATTTATTTTTCCACAATAGAAACACATGCTTATTTTTTATTTTTTTGTACCTATATACCTAGAGTGTTGTGTCATTTATCCATAGGTTATATTATATTATGTATATTAAATATTATAATATAAAAAATGATATGAATACCAGAATRCATATAACACGATATATCACAATAGTATATTATATGCATTAGGACTCTTTACAATATACAAGACCTGCGGACTTACAACTTTTTCAAGTAAAAAATAAAATGAAAATACCTACGTTAATTTTATACAGCGCGAAAGTAAGTATATCTGTTTTTATTTAAAGATAGTTGTTAGCTTTTCAAGAAGCGTATGTAGATGTGTAAATTTAAATATACATTAAAATTAATAGTTTATTAACTCTAAAAATAAATAGTTTGTTTTATTGGCAAACGTCCGTTTAATTGTGTCCTTGTATTTTTCAGTTTTAAGCTTTTAATAATATATTAATATGTATTAATGTAAACAATATTTACGGGTTTTTGAAAAAATTTTGTTGATAACATATCAAAGGTTATATTTTATTCTAAATCTGTACCCACAATTAACATTTTTAGTGCTTCAGTGGTCAGCGTGTTACTCGAAGCCTAACATATTATATTATAATAATATATAAGTATTTAATATATTATGTTTTAGTTTATACGATAATATTGATATTAATGATATTCAAATCATATAGAAATGCTAGTAATATTTTATCTTGTCCACATAAAAATAAAATATWAATAAAATATAATATACATAACATAGCTGATAGATCGTTGGTACATGGAATATTGGAATTTGGTATACTTATTTTTACAGTTGTAAAAATAAATWAATTTAATTTATAACTTTACTAAATATCCAAATGCTTAATATTTAATAGCAACATGAATATTTTTAATATAATATATATACAAAACAATTTAAATAAAACATTTTAATTATATGTTTTTTTCAATAATTTTATATTGTAATACACAATAAAAACAAATATGACTTTATACAGGCCAGTCAAAAATTACAGAAACTGTAGTTAGAAATTATTATTGCTTACAAAAACTATCAAATTACAAAAAAAAAAAAATATATTTATATATATTAACAAAATTAACATTTTTTGTACCGCTTATTTTATGTAAATGGTAATAAATAAGAACAAAAAAATTAAAATAAATACAATATTTATAGTTAAAAAAAAAAATGTATAATTCATACACTATAAAATAAAATAACGGTGAATAGTGATTCAATTAAAATTAATAAAGCATTTTTAAAGTAAAAATTAAAAATGTGATTATCTAAGTAGTAACGAAAAATCTGTGCGAACAGTATATATGTAACAAAATTTCATCTCAGAGGTATTAGTGAAAACAAAATTCTGTATGTTCGAACTCAATAAAATAATAATTATACAATAATTTTTAAAAATTAAAAAAATAGGTATTTAAAGTCATAAAATAATTTTTATGCAACATTTAAAAACATTATTACGATGTASTACAAAAAATCAAAACAATGCGACATATAAATACGTGTAACACATCTCACACCGCTTTTCCCGAAATCCGATCAAAATAGGTACAAGCACCAAATTTTAGCGTTAGGAAATGAGTTCGGGGTATTATCGAGTTGAAAAACGAGTCTCTAAGTTTAATATTTATAACGAGATAAAAAATATTATAATGTCTAAAATGACACAGCCATATTTATGTTTTTATAAAACGATTAATAATTAAAAATGTTAATCGCTCACAGCCATCAACGGTTTAGGTATTCACTTTGGTTTTCGGATGAAACGCAACACTAGATAACCTAACAATCTGAACACGATAAGGAAGCCGAACAGTATCGCAGTGTTCAGCCATAATGGGAACGATGCACCTTGCGCGTTTACAATGTCCAGAGCTGGTATAAAAGTCGAGTTTTCACACACCGCATACTTGGATTGTTTTGCACACCTGTACGAACAACATACAAAATTATTATAAAACTTGACAAAGGTTAGGTACGTATATTATAATATGTAATAATAAAATGGGTACTACAATATTGCCTGCAGGTGTAGTGCATATAGTATGATATTATGCACATGGTATAGGTATATACAGTGGCGCCCAAAGGGTATTAAAGCTGGCCTTGTGTAATATTATTTTCCTTATCAACTAACCGCCCACCTATATAGTGGCCCCTCGCACAATGATATTTATTATTTTATTTTATTTAATTAGATAAAAATTATGCACACAGCTGAATTATAAAATATGCTAAACTTCWGATACCTCGAATACAATCTACTTACGTTAAATTTGTATATTTAAATTATCAATAAACAATGTACATTTAGGTAATTCAAGAATGCCCAGCGTTCCACTCACTTACTCAAAACTACGAGCTTCATTATTGTATAAACAAGATTTGGCTACGTATACCTACTCTTATACAAAATTTTGATTTTTGTTTTTAAATTGTATGTTATTTGTTAGAGAATCATTGCCATATAAGTTATAAGTGGCAAGATCTTTTAGTTAACTTTTCAATATCTTAAGTTTTTTTTTTTTTTAAATAAATGAAGCGAATCAGAATATTTTAATCTGAAAATCGTGATCTTTTATTTTATCAATTTTTGATAACTTTTTTCGTTATAACTTCTTTTATAATGTTTTCCGAAGAAGAAAATATAAAAATATAAAATTCTTTAAAAAAGAAAAGAAAAAAAAAGCAAAGAAAAAAAAAAGAAACTAGGATGAGAATTACAGCGCCATTTTATAGGTGTTAAATTCGACCAGATCATTTTATKTATTAGTAACATTTAGAACAAGTGTATTTGGTAATATAATATATGGTAGGTARGCACTTACATGATTGGTTCTCCATCGCTAAATTCGACGATTTGCATGTTTTGATAGGCATAATGCACCATACTGAGATACTGCATCCACTGTAACCAGCTAGGAATATTTGTCGCCAAGTAGCCGCCAAAMAGTTGTGTGGCCAGCGTGTACAGGGCGCTGATTGTAATCGAGACTTGCATGTCCATGCAAAACGCTCCCACGAAAAACCCGACGCTCTATAAGCGGAAAATGTATTTTTGTAATTTTTAGCAATCAGACAAATTGCACCACGAAATATATTCAATTCAATTTACCTGAGCGACGATGGTGTTCAATAATAGAAACATTAATAGGGTGAAGAATGTACTAACACTATGCATGCCAAGCATTGGGTAGGAGATCAGATGATAGACGGCTGGCAAGGTGATTGTCAACGGCAGTTCGCCGACCATTTTGGCCAGATAATACGCACTCAAGCGATACGCTCCACTCTGGCGTTCTTTATTAATAACTTCTCTTTCTGGAGGGACTGTAAAACACAATAAAATTCAGTTATTGATATAGTTATACTTATATATTACAATATAGCTGCCATATGAGTATGCAATGTGCATATTTTTACAACACTTTAATGTAGTGTCGTCGTATCGTGTGAACATTATAATATATTATGGAATGGTGCAGGTACTTACAAGACGACAGTGTACCGAAATGAGCAAAAAGCATCCAGTAAGTAGTGGAAAAGAACATCCACCCCTGGATGTTCTGCAAAGATTGTTCCGTGCGCGGCAATTGGAACCACAGCAGACCGGCCAATATGCCCAGCGCAATTGTTTGCACCCAGTTCAGTGTGCTCAACATTTGAGGACGCGCTTCTTGGAAGTTCCTCTGGCTCAACACCTAAATAACCAAAAAACCCATATATGTAAATCCCGTGTCATATTTTAATTATTCTGTATAATGATATGTTATTACTTTGAATTGTGTCCAAAAGCTGGTGGGCCATTGCCAAGTAAAGTCTTCGTCAGATGTAGAAGTTGAAGAATGGCTCTGACTGTCGGGCCATAAATTTTTCACTTCGTCTTCGTGAACTACAATACAAAGTCAATAGTTAAACGATATCGATCGCTATTGGAGTCGTTGTTTAATATGTAAACCATAAAACTAAATTTCGTACACACCTCTGACTGCAGTATAACATTTTTCATTGCTATCTGTAGACGAGTCACTGAACGCTGTACAAATATGACCGTTGGTAGCATTCATGGGCCATTGATATTTATCTGTACAATAYAAACAAATGATTAGATTATTAGGGCATTGGGTACAGTTTTAACGATATTAGCTGTCTAAGGGCCCGTTTTACAATCATAGTTTAAACCTGGTTCAAATCGAAATGGGCGTATTACAATATCCTAACCGTGGCTTAAACTGAAGTTAACTTGAACCACCGATTTCGCTGATATATGGCCATATTTAATTACGTTTAGGTAGTGATTTTTCATAATAATTAATTATAATAATATTAATAATTCTTAAAATATATGATTATATTATTGTTATTATTATTTACAACTAACCGTTATGATTGTGACGATAGTTATTTAGGTACTTGTCACACGTGCAATTCAAATTCAACGATTCTTGCTGATAATAATCGTCTTGGGCTCTCTGTGCGGCGGCTATTATCTTTTGTTTCATTTCTTCTGTACCTTTAACTTGTTCCACTATAAACGAATTATACCACAATCTTAATAAAATAATCACAACGAATCGCCAGATAATTAAACACTATGTTCGATGAAACTTACGAATGAAGTCAGCCGGATTGTAATGTGGGGCTATCGTCATTCCAATGTTACTAAAGAAATTTACAACTTTATTGATGTCACCAAAGTATGCAGTCTATATATAAAATATAACAATAGTTTTAATTTGTGATATATATATATATATATATATACATAATATATTATGTTTAGGTTGATAGGAAACATATTAATGAAGAGTATTAAATATGAACATTTTTTATGTTGTTTGATTTTAGTGTTTCGTACCTGTCCATTGCAGATCAAAAGTAGTTTATCAAACATATGAAATATTTGAGATGACGGTTGGTGAACAGTGACTACAATAGTTTTTCCTTCTTTTTCGGCGTATTTCTTTAGCGACCACATCAATTTGTAAGCTGAATGAGAGTCCAGTCCAGTTGTGGGTTCCTAAGTTACATACACCGAGTGTCAATCAATTCAACCAAGCTGAAATATTTTCGACTAATAGGTATTAATGTATTATRCTTACATCTAGCAGCATTAAAGCTGGATTGGTTAAGAGTTCGCAAGCGATGTTTGCTCGTTTCTTTTCACCCCCGGACAAACCACGCTTCATGTAGTCCCCGATAACTAAAATCAAACAAATGTACACGTGAGATTAGTTAAATGTTTATTAATATATAGTAATATATACCTATAGTTATGATTTTTTTTTTTTAATGGTGATTAATGTGCTAACATAATAATATTTTAATCACTTAAGCTTCATTAGGTAGTATAAATATGGTAGAAGATTATTAGCTAAATACAAAATTAGTTTTGTTGTTTAAAAGAATACTTAACATACGTTGTAGCCTGTAGGTATATTTTAGTGAAAAAAAAATATGTTCGGTAAATAATAACAATGAAACTAGGTAGCCATTCAGTATTATTGCAGCAGCGATAGATTATAATACTATTGTCTTTGCATGCGCGGTTGTGCAGCACTGCAACAGTGTACTTGGTATAKAAACATTAAGTATCAAATATCAATATGATATAGGTATATGAATCGTGGTATAGTAATTTATTGACGGTGAATTATTCATTTTAAAAGAAAACGGTAAACTGAATAATAATACGAATTCGAAGAAAACACCATCTAAGCTCTGTGTATCGATAAGCTGCATACTGCATACATTAATTTCAAGAACAAAATATATAATAGTATTATATACTGTACAGGAGTTTTTAGCWATAATAAAAAAYGAAATAGGTGATTTTTAATTGTAATTTGTAACTGTCTTGCGACTTGCCAAAATCGTTAATGCACCACTAAATATAACACAGATACCAACAGAGACTAAAATAACGGATGCATACGAACTGAGTCTCAATAAAACCTTTTAGAACGAAATGAGTTCTTGGTTGTTTTAAGGTAAATATAAACTAATAGAGTCCTATTAAACTTAAAAAAAAAAACTTTCTTCCAATTGTTATCAGATTTAATATAGTTTTTGTATTTTATAATATAATCATGTTTGGGTGTAATATATGTATAATTTAAATGTTATTTATGTATATATATATATTTGAAAAATGAATATAGGTGATGATTAAATTGTTTTTATACATTGGCTAAACTTTTGGTATGTGATAAATATATTGTACACTTTCAAATCGTTTTATTAAAATCATACAAATTTTGAATTATATGAACGATATCACGTAGTCAATGAAAACTAYGTTTTTTTGCTATGTTTGGTTGTATATCTTACTGAAAATAATCCTCGGACTCAATAAGTATATTTTTCGTTTCCAAATCGCGGACTCAATTCGTATGTTTTTCGTTTATACTCGGAACTCAATYACATTACTTTTCCCGTTCATGTAATGGTTGAACTTTTCTAGTATATAAAGCGAACATAATAATATTAACGCCCGAAATTTCAAAATATATATCATTTTTACTGAAACGTTGAACACGTTTATATTTTTTGTTAATCAAAACAATAATAATTTGTAAACGACGTCGTGTACACCACATGATTATAATATAATATTAAATTATATTATACATATATTATTAATAATTTAAATTAAAGATAGGTATAGATAATGCACGGCCGGCGTATATATATATATAGTGTAACACGAAGGTTAACCTTGGCTAACCTTTACGATAGATTAGCGTATAATACTCTCGTACACATATTTGTTATTCGCTTTTTTGTATTTTTTATGCAGTTTTATTCTCGATCGGTTATGCAACCACATCGGTGCTACAACAGCGTCCGAACAAAGCACACTCGTTCAACAGTCCCAAAGCATGTGTGTGTGTGTGTGTGTGTGTGTTTGCACGACGTGTATATAATATATATCATTTACGATTATTCTAATCTAATTTATTATATCGATCTATTATAATATATTATATACAGCGCACCGCTGTTAGTCGGTACCGAGTGTCTATGTAATAATAATAATAATAATAATAATAATGTATACGAATTTACATACTTGTATCTTGACAGTTGTTCAGATCGAGCACGTCTATGATATGATCAACGTACTGCATTTTTTGACCGCGAGATAATGAATCGGGAAGTCTCAGCATTGCAGCGTACTGCGACCGCGAACATGAAAATATCAAAACGTAACTTTATAATATCAGTCATTATTATACTCAAATCATTAGTTAATACACYCGTAATTGAATACAGCACAACAACGTTTATAATAATAATAATATCGCCGTCATTAGGTATGACGTTTTATATTATCTGTGAATAATATATTATTTGTCCAAATTGCGTTTAAATGCGGAATACACACCTCGAGCGTTTGTCTCAGGGTCAAGTCCGGGAAAAAAATGTCTTGTTGTAATACGTAACAGATACGCCGCTTGCACCGCTTGTTGAGACGCTCGCGATTCAGGTGGATGCACCCGGAATTCAACTTGGTCCGGCCCGAAAGACAATTTAGCAAAGTTGTTTTTCCACATCCTTTAAAATATAAAAACAAACAAATAGAAATTATTAGTAAAATTATTTCCACGATCGGTCAGGTTAGGTTTTTATTTTATTGTTATTATTATTTTTAGTATTCATATCATATTATTATTAGACTCAATGCTTTTTAATATAATATATCTATATATAAATATAAGGAATATATATTATACATATTATATTGATAAAATTCTAGTTTTCTACGGTCAATATCGTTAAAAACATAATACGTCTTACAGATATTTATCCAAAAGTAGAAAAAATTTAACTATCATCAGCAATATTATATGTTATATGTTATCAAAATTTAAAAAAAATACGTGTTATACTCGTGGAAAACTCAACTTATATATAGGATTATTAATTTTCATAATCTGAAATTTTTACCTATGTCAGTGGTGAGATTTAGTAATAAAGCACCTATATAGATAACTAAATAATTAGAGATAGTTGGACTCGTTTGCAGTGCTGGACCTAAATCGACAAACGCAATTTAAGTAACGTTGATCAAACGTTTCAAATTAATGCAACATAATTATGTTTACTTTATGGTTTGAGAATCTAAAAGTATACCTAATATGTTTTATATTTTTATAGTTTAAGCGCTTTTTAAAACTGTTAGAGTATTTAATTTGAATGGTATAGGCGCGTACACGCGTTTTGTGTCTATTCCTTTTTTAGATTCGATCATTTTCGCGGACATTGCCTATACATACAACTAAATATAACGTTGTCATTGTAATGATGTTGTACAGTACTATAAGATATTTCATAATAATTATATGTAACTCGACAAAGTGCGGTATCGGACTCACCTGAAGGACCCATTACGGCCAACACCTGTCCCGGTTTTACGACACCACTGATGTTCTTCAGCACGTGTCTCTTGTCGTCTAGTGTCACTGTCAGGTTGCTGAAAGTCAGCTCGATCGGCCGATGTGCGGGCAACGGGTGCATACATCCCGGGGGTTCTTGCACGTTCACTCCGTTTTCCAACCTGTGACAGAACAGCAAACCATATGTTATAATATTATTATTTATTATATAATATGAAATTAAAYGCATCGTGATCAACTAAGCCAYATCATCTTGCGTTAGTAATAGCGTTGCTGCAGCGGCGTAAAAAATACGACTCTAACATTCCCGTTAAATTTTACGGTTAGGTTTTTTTTCGGCCGACGACGTTATTCGGCTGATTTAATGATTTTGATTATTTGATCAAGAGACAAAAATGTTATTACAATAAGTTCACCGACCCACGCGTGATGTTTGCAGCAGATGTCAACGAACCAGCTATATATATATATTAGCCAGACGAAAACACACGCACGCAAATATATTATGCATAAGTATAATATATACACGTACGCATATGTGTGTGTGYGTGTGGACCGATTTCGATTTGACATTGCAAATTTTCGGGTCTCGCAATCATCATTTAGCATTAGTTAACACCGATTAAAAAAACATACGCAGTTTCGTTTATTCCCGTATTGCGGCTATTATTATTATTATTGTTGTTGTTGTTGTTGTTGTTGTTGTTATTTGTTATTCAGCTGGGGTGATATATATATTGTATATATTGTACGAGTGCAGCAAGTGCGCAGCAGCAGTGTTTTGTTTTAYCCGTTATAACATAGCCGTGAGCACTTCATTAAAATATTATACTTATATGATAATKTATACGCCACTGCCGATGGTTCGACGATAAATACGTTTATTGTTATTATTATTCACCGCGACATTTTGTCCGTCTGCAATGATTTCGCGATGTAAAAATCAGATCGGGCGACGATCTATAATATTTTTTGCATACATTATCATACGTATTTCCGAGCTCGTTGGGCGCACTCTGCACAACAACGTAACGGCACTGCGTATATACATATTATATGGGTACTGCGTGAGAGAGTCGATAGTATTTTAATGTATCGTATAAATGTATGATGAGATTTAGGTTCACAGCGACCTTATCCGATTTCAAAATACGCGCGAGAAATGCAACAACAGTCGTTATAATATWATATWATATTATTATTGTTGTGAGAGCGAGCAGGCGGCGCTAAACCATTCCGCTGATGCGGCTAAAATAATAACGAGGCGATAAGATCCAGAGATTCGTCAATCGTAATGATATTACACATATCATTTTTTTTTATTGGATTATTCAGCGTTTCGTTTATCGTTGCACTACACCTATATACGCGGTTTCGTTTGAGTCGCATATTCAACTCCAATGCAAAGTGATTATATATACCGTGCTACAGCATTAAACACACAGCCGGATCGATGAAAAACACTCGTTTCTACTATAATATTAATGTAATCTAAGTACCTGACTATATACTCATCAAGTTTTTATTCGTGATTACTACACTACGGTGTTGTAAGTTGTCTGTAATTGAATCTATAAACGAATTAGATATGGCTATAAACGCCGAGTTAAGCAGACAATAATTAGAACGCGTAGGCTTAACCTGCAGCAGATATTATAATTGCGTTATAGCAGATGTCCATCTTATCGAATATACCTACATTTAATTGTGACAGATGTCTGAAAAAAATCTGTCTCGCGCGTAGTAATATCATCATCATCATAAGTCGCTATGATATATATTGTTTTTCGAAATAAAAATTTTACGACGCATCCTTTGATGTATAAAAAAAACATCGTTTAGACTTTCAACATCACTCATTTATTTGCACCATTCAACATAGTTGCAGTAGTTTGCCAACGAAGACGRTTATTATAGCTAGTATTTGAAAAAAAATCTCGACATATTTAAATATCAATTAACATGACGTATATAGTGTATATATACATCATGTACCGTATATAGCATAAAATTAAATAGTGCATTAAAACACGCATTCCTCAACTATGCACAATCTGACCGTTTACTATTATTATAGTCCACGGTCGCAGCTATATGCATATTATATAGTGCATATAAAAATGTATTGATTGCAATCGTATAACGGCTAGGCGAACGTACGAGCTGAAGTATAATAATTAATAATTATTATATCATGTATACGTTTTAATTGTTTTCCGTTTTGTTTTTATTATTTTTTTTTCTAGTTGGCAAGCGTCACACGAAGTCAATAACTTATATGCACCGACGGTTGCAGTGTTTATATACATACAAAAACTCCTATGTAAGACGTATTATAGATATATAATAATAATAATATATTATATTAATATACGACCGCGAGTTTTACACCACTTTCTATTTCTCTTCATTTCAGATGACCTGCTGACAAGACCGGTTAAACTTCATCGGGACGTATAGCTAATACGCGCTGCACTATAGGTATTTAATATTATACACACTGCACGAATATAATAAAATAATAATARCACAATATCTCGCGYAGTCGCTAAAAAAACCTTTATTATCACTGCTTATTAATCAGCTAATACGATCAGCTTTTAWTTTATTTTCGATTACAATACACACATATAAATATAAATATATTACGAAACCGGGGATGCTATAATATAATATAACTCATTACTCGTGTACTTATTGAGCGGTCGAGGTCAAAGCTCATCTACAGGAAACTCGCAACACTATATATACTTTAACGTTTGCCATATTATAATACATAGCTGTACTTTCTACAATTATACGAATAATAATTTTATTCGGTTTTACAATGCCGACGAGAAATTATTTTTAGATTATATTTATTATATTATAGGTGCCTATGCAATTTATTGATAATATATGGTGCAAGGATTGGAAATAATGTATGTAAATTCGGAACGGACGACTGTATAGGTACATCTTACGGCACGATGATGATAATAATAATTTACGAAAAAATTAAAATAATAATAAAAAAAATCAACTTACAAACAATCCGAGAGAAGTTTTTTGATCATTTTGTACCACGAGCGCTGCAAGGTGTTCTAACCACGAACAGCGAACGCACTGCAGCAATATAGTGTAATGTACGTGCGTGGTGTGTGCCCGTTAAAACGCGATAGGAGGAAAAAATATTTCAAAACTATTTAGCCATTGGTCCACTGATAAAAGACCATCAGCAACACTTGGGTGGATGTAGGCCGTGTGATTATTATGATTAAATGTTTACATACGTTTTATCGACTACCTACCCGCGTGGATGTCGGCCGGCCGGTCGTATTATGTTTTTGCTAACGATCGGATTTTTTTCCTTATGAACATATCAAAACGTTTTCGATAAACCGTTTTGGAGTTCGCAAATACGTGTGTGTGCGTGTGTGTTTATATTGCGATTGTGTCTGGGTACGGTTACATTCCGTACGGACCGTGAGAGCTGCTATTGTTTGCCACGGCGAAAAAAATACAATTTCCGGAAAACGAGACACAGATAAAAATATAGCTCGATAAAAATGAATAATTATATATAGGTGTATATTATATTATAGCCGCCGCGGTCGATTCTATTTCTTAATATTATTTTTTTTCATGATAATCTACACGATTTTCTCAAGAAACGTTTTAATCGGTCAACGTCCTTTATATAAATATAATATATTATTTCATATAGATGGAAAATCGCAATTTTTTGTTGCAATAATTGATAACGCGTAWGTAGGATTTTTTTAATTCTACTGTTTTAAATTCACTGCAAATCCTGAAACTCGTATTACTACGTATAATAATATTATATATACGTGAAGTGGAACTTTCTACAATTTATACATGTTCTAATATGTAAAGAAACCAAATAATWATTACATGAACTTTATTTATATCTTTTTCTAAAACCAAACTGTAAATATATGTGTAGTATGGCTATTGAGTGTAATATTCTATAAAGGGTTAAACGAATTAAGTTGATATTTTTAACAAAACGAAAACAAACCGTACCTATTTATATTTAAAAACGAAAGTGTAATATAATAACATGTAGGTATATTTGTGATATAAAGGCAATACGTATTATATTCATGTAAAAAACGTAAATTTTTAAATTAATTCAAATTCAGAGCTGGTTAAGTTAGTAACTACCTACATTTAAACCGTACCATTGCATTATTCAATACTTCGAAATGCTCTCCTTAATATAATATAAGAMTGAATTTCGTGAGATGACTCAGTTTTTTTGTGTTTTTTAAGAAAACTATTCAGTAAAAGTGTTGCCAACGGGTCAACAAACTCTAAATACGTGCAAATGAATATATACGACTCSGTAAACGATGTAACTTAAATAATATATTATTRTATTTGTATGTGCGTGAAAAATAATTCTTAAAACAAAAGCCAACTCAATTACTAGCAACGGCTACCTACGATTTTATGGTGAATTTCGCAATAACGTCTAAATTATAGTTTTAACGAAACAAAATATAAATAATATAGATAATATTATATTATACGTGCATGTATGGATTTTACGATCTGTTGGAGTTAAATGCGAAACAGCCGACAGTTATATATCRTTAATATCGCTGCAGTGTACCCACAACAGAAGTGTTGGGCATTTACGGTTAACAATATACCTATGTATAATATTATACTAATTTACTTGGACGAGGTTCCTCGAATTCCCATCGGAGATGATTAATATCACGAATAAAATAATGTTATGAAATGGACACGGCCATGGTTATTGCAGATAATCGTGATGTGGCAAAAATCATCGACGTCTTGTGCTGTGAACGAATTTCGATTGGACAACACCAATCCCATCGAAGCCGCTGCAGCGTGCAAGCTTACACCGACGTGACCGACGRTTGATGACGGATGGTCAGTATCATAAAAAAACAAGAACATAATCGCGGCTATGGTACATATTTTTATTATTTTTACGACTAAAACACGCGTACCTGCTAGGTATGCGTTTTGCAACGAACGTTTAAGACGGACCTTGCGAGAATAAAATAATACACACTGCACTACGTAATGTTCACGATTCAGCRTGTATAAGTTATTACTGGGGACTTAAAGTTATTTTATACAAAATCAATTAAAATTTGTATTGATATTATTTTAACATGAT